GTACGAGAGAGAGAGAGAGAGAGAGAGAGAGAGAGAGAGAAAAGAGAGAGAGAGAGGGTCTCTCGGAGGAGTCACGATCGACGTCGTGATGGTTTATTCTTTTTTTTTTTTCTCTTTTAGGATTTAGAACGCTCGGTGGAGATATTATATAATGCTTGTCCTCGTTTTGTCACTCGTCGATAATGCTACTTTAGCGGAAAACGGAGTATGCTATATATTTCCGGTTATACAGGATTATCGTACACTTGCCGTGTGTGGCTCCGCGACGTCTCTCAAGTCTACGGTAGAAGTATACAAGTATATATATATACACACGTATGTACAGCACGTAGAGAGGGATCGTCGTCTCCCGAAATATCGAATATCGCGTGCACTTTCGTTAAAAAAGATCGATAACAGGAGGAAAGATGGCTGGGGGGGAGGGGGGAGAGGAAAAGAGAGATCAATGACGGGGTAAGAAAAGGCATGCCTCTGCGCAGACTGGCTGCTGTTATTGATTTCGCCGATTCGGCCGAGTGTCGATTCCTGTCGCGGTGAAAACCCACGCGACGATCGCGACTTTGCTCAGATTTACAAATCCAAATCAAATTGAATTAAAATTCCTGAAATTTTGAGGAGCGGAGATCTTGAAGGGAAGAGAAATTTTGACGGATCTAAATTTTCTGCGCAACTTTAGACTTTGTCATTTGGGTTGCGTTGCCTTTGGATACGCTCTCGCGTTACATCATTTTATCTTTATCATTTGTTACACGTTGAAAAGAAGATAGAACAACGCTTACAACCGTGAGCGCTCAAAGTAAATGCTTAATTCTTAATTTCTTCATCGCCGATTTGAAGGAGAATCCGTAGTCGAAATCGTAATTTTTTTTTTTTTTTATAAGAACTTTTCGGTGAGATAATTGAGAAATCGACACGTCCACCAGGCCGAAGCGTTAAAGTGTGCTGCTGTAGTGTTAACTCTGCGTTTTATACGATAAAGTGATGATCGATTCGTGAATATACTGCGGTCGAGAGGCACCATATGAGTCCGACGTGATCGCGAACGTCGTTGAGATCGCGGCTAATCGAAAGCTAATTCCGTGCAGTTTCTTTTGACATTAATTTAATGCAGTTGGTCGATGCCCAATTTGAGATCTTCGATACGAGAGTCGCTATACTTGTTCGTTAACGCGCTGTTACACACCGCGATTTATAAAGGCAAGTATTTCCTTTTCCTGTTCTTTCGGTTTTCCGGAGATTTCAACGAAAAAAAAATCGCTGGCCTTCCCTCAAAGCGTGACTCGGGAAGACGGGACGGATTTAAAAGGGATGCCGTTTCGATCCCTTTTAACTCTCCGCTTTCGCGAGGCACCTTTGAACTTTTTTTTCCTCTCTCTTCAACGGATCTTGCTTTAACGAATCCTCTCCTCCTAAACGTTCGAAGACGTCAGACACGTCGTTCGCTCGTCGTAAATTAATCGTGACTATATTCCCTTCGCGAAACGAAACGAAATATTCGACGCACACTTCCGTCGTTCTCTGCGGCAATCAGCATAGGACTCGCTCTCAATAATTCCGGGATCGAGCGCCGGAAATGACGAAAAGAAAATATCACAGTGTCTCGAGGGCAGCTCGTAAATCTTTGAAGGTTGTCACTGGTTTATGGCAGTCGCGCGCACAAGTTACGCCTATCCCATCTCATCTCCTCTCATCTCGTCGTCGTCGTCGTCGTCGTCTCGTTGTCGTCGCGGAAGTAACAGCGCACGGCCTAATTAATTACACAACACGGTGCGAATCGTACAGAAGACAGTGTGATACAAAAACGACACGTAGTCCCGACATGAGTCCTAGAAAATTAATGATATAAAAGTGAAGATATATATAGATACACGTTCGCCCTCGCTCGTCGACGAAGGACTCGCGACGACGGGGTCGAATCGGGACGGGAGGGGTGGTTTCCGCCCTTCACGCCGTGCCCGCCGTGCCCCGACGTGCGCGTCTTGCCGATTTCGATTATTCTTCGATGTCGCACGAAGTCCCGAAGTGCACTCGCGTAAGTGCGTGAGATCGCGACGCGGCAATTCTCGTTTCCTTCGTTTAATCACGTTTCCGTTTTTTTTCCCAAGCATACTCGTCTAGGCACAAATCACTTTCGCAACATTTCGGTTTAATCTATCGTCCTCGTGTAATGGTACGCGCGGTATCTTCTTCCAACTCTAGGAGGAAACCGATTAGTGACCTTCCGCTCTTTCTCACCAAGAGAACCATCTCGCATCTGCCGTCGTCCTCGAGGCGTTCGCCCGCCAAGCAGAGCCGAGCGCCGATCTCAGCATCCCTCGCAGCCATTTTATTTTATTCGAAAACATTCCGAATTAATTTATTTATCGTCGCTAAGCACCGTCGAGATGAAGGCTCGATCGGGGAGTAAGTCGCGAGGAGTTAAGCGCAACACGGGAATATCTTTTTGACGATCCTGACGATCCTGACGATTTTGACGATCCTGATAATCATTTCCCCCCCGAAATCATCGAGTAAATAATTATTTATATCTAACAACCATCCCGGAACGAGATGGAGAAGAGTGACGTACATCGTGATGTACGACGTTATCATTAAAGAAAATATCGCGATGCCTCATTTACTCTCTACACACAATGCTGAGGTATATTCTCGTAATATTCGCAACAATATTTCCCAACAATATTTATACCCCGATCGACCCTATGCTCTTGAACTGAAATCCAGAGATTAGACAGACGGACGCGGAGAGACGCGATCGACCAACGAGGGACTCTCGCTTCCTCGACGAAGTGTCGCCTCACGGCGCGTCTCGCGCTCGAAACGTCGTCGATCCTCGCACGAGGCCGGACTTTCCTCGTCCTCCGCGACTTCCGGCTCCCACGGGCATTCCTCTCTTCTCAGTGCTCATTGTACATCGCGCCGCTCACCGTCCTCTCGAAGTTCTCGCCCGCGGTCCAGCCGAGGCTGGTCGTGCGACGGAGGCTGTGCCGCAGGAACGCCGCGCACGCCTTGCTGCTCTCGGTGATGATCTCGCAGAGCTGCGTCTCCAGGCTGAGGCTGCTGGTGGTGAGCAGCAGCGGCAGCGGTATCGGCGCGTTCATGATCACAAGGTTACCGATATTAAGAGGAGCTGTTTCCCATTGTCAGACACCGCTGTTCGGAAAGCGTGGCGGGGGAAGCGGGGGCGGTGGTCTCTCCGGCTGAGCGGGAGCGACGGAAGAGCGCTCGGATCCAGCTGCAAACACAACTGTGGGGTGCACGTTAGTCTCAGGGGTACGCGACCACCTCTATCTGCGATACGGCCACACGTCTCTCGCGTAATGCTATCTCGCCAAACTACTTTCCGCCAACACATCGCTAAAAAGTGTGTATGTGTATGTATCTCGTATAGGATGGCAAGCAAGCTCCTACTGGCTCCCGGTCGCTGGCCTCGGCCTTCCCCTCGGTCGGACTAATCTTTCGCCGTGACGGACTCGGAAAATCTCTCTTTGAAATCCCTCTCTCGAAAAATGCGAGCGGCGCTTCACCTCCGCGGATTTTGCCGATCATTCTCGAGAGTAACGCGCTGTATCGTGTAACAAGCTCCTTCTTTATAGCCGCTACTCTTAACAGTCTCAGAGCAGTCTCCCATGCAATTTACAAGCGCACTTATAGGAACTGGCCAAAAAGAAGGTCAATCGCGTTAAAATTTGTTCCATCTGTTTCCGAAATACGATGAATATTCACCGAGATAAGCAGCGTCTCTGTGCTCTCTTAAAAAAATCATGCCGTCATTTTTTTTTATTTTTCATAGATTTCCGATAGAATATTCTTTAAGTGAAGTTAAGTGTCGAACAAAAAAGATGATAACATTATTATAACACTAGTAAAATTGCAAATTGCAATGTCCAGACGTTACGATAGCGAGTTATTAATTTGAAAATATAATATACTCATTTACACATCGGTAAGAATATATTCGTGTGTCCCTCCGGCTATTATCTTAGCTACAATTAATTTACTACTAAGAGATCTGATCCGACTAAGTGACTTAAGGTTTTCAAAGCCAAACGTCCGAAACGGGAAACTCTCGCGGGAGATGAAATTGCCTTTTGCTGCTACGCACTAAAGATAACATTCATGCGCGCATGCCTCTTACACCATTCATGCTGCGAAAATTGATTGTACAGCACCGTACTAAAATTAACAACAATGCCAAGTATATATATGTACATTGGCTTAAGAAGTCATCACACAAATCCTTGCTTTTGGGATTGCTTCACAGAGATGCTACGTCAGCATTAGTGTCAATGAAAAAAAAAAATTATATATATATATACATTCACATATATGATATATGTGTGTGTATGTGTATATACATATATGTATATGCATATGTATATATGTATATGTATATTCACTGCCTTTCTTTAAACTACTACAAAGGCCAGGTAGCGCATAATATATATATATATATACGATATATGATATTCGTAGAAACGAAGCGGTACGTGAGTATCTATTACTTTCTCGTTTCGTGTAATTACGTAGCGTATTAATTAAGTCCAAAGTGTAGATACGATACGATACGAGGATGGAAAACTGTCGTGTTGCACAGAGATATAAGTAGACGTGTGTGATATACATAGAGCTTATTATTCTGAAGCGCTTACTCGTTTTTACAGTTTACATTACAGAGCGTCGCAAAGTACCGCCAATGTATCGTCGTTTCCCTGGGTAGAATAGAAGACAACGTGTTCGCAGATTATTCGATATTCACACGCAATGCAGTTTCTCGCTTCGTGGTACTCGCTTCCATGTATTTTTTATACGTGATTACTATGCGTATAGCCGCGAATAAATTATCAGAAAAATAAGCTCTACTCTGGTGAGGTGGAACTCCGGCGAGGTTCCCGGTGTATACCACGGGAGTGCCTAACCCAAGCAGTATGAAACCAAGGAAAAGCTAAAGATAAATAGAATAGATATTAGATTATTAATGTCCAACGTAAAGTATTATGCCGAGTGGAAACGGAGGTTTCGTGAATGCGAGTGAGAAACATCTCGTGTGTCGAGAATCCGGCATAAGGACAAATTGAATTTTCCTCGGCAGGCAAACGAGAGAGCTTTAAAAAAATAGCTGTATGTGCAATATGGTGGATGAACGAGATGTTGCGGATAAAATTAGAATTTCCCGATCTCTCGGTATGGCACACGGATACCCGGCACGTCGGATATTGTCGGATTTGACTCTGTCAATAGTTTCTTTCCTAATAAGACCTTAATAAGACCGCTGTCAATACGATAAGAGGTGAATAAAGTTTTTCGATAGATAGTGTTTCCCGCTATGACACCACTCGCGGTGTGTCTTGTCGTAGCGTGAGGCGGCACAATGTATGAGTTTGACTTGTCGTATAACCAGCACTTTGACGCCCCTTGCACTTTCGAATTATACTGAAAGCAGAAAAGAAACGTTCGCAAATAAATTCAAAACAGATGTTCCACAATGAGGCTACAAAATCAGGAGAACTTACGAACATACATGTATGCGGTGTTATGGCATGCAAGATGATGGGGATTTATGCGCGGGATATAAAGCGACACGTGGCAAACAATTCCTGTATGATTCCCGCATCGATTCGCACGGTCGCCGATGCTCTTAAAATCGTCCGTTTTCGTAACGTTCGGTTTTCCCCCCACGTGCGAATTAACACGTGCGGAAGAACGTGGCGGAAATTTAATGCATGATTGATGAGGTGATCAGGCGTGAAAAGAAATGATTGAGAAAACAAACGTAATGCGTAGTGTCTAGGTAAACAAAAAATAAAAAAAAAAAAACAAATAATAAGTAATATATGCGATTTATGAAAATGTAAAAATCTAAGGTGGTATAGAAAGACTACTCTGAAAAGACTCAAACTTTAAGTCAGACATGGTCAGCCAGTGCGTACGTCAATTTCCACCTCGATGAAATGCAGAATATTGTCGTCGACGAAAAAGAGACGGCCCGTTTAACGAGACGGGACAAGGTTACGAGGAGTCGAGCTCGCCTGCCGAATCGAGAGCATCTGATCACCACCGCAATCATCGCAAACTCCCGGCCCGAGAGAAAAATGAATAATCTTGACCGCGACTTTTCGAGAATTGTTTGTCTTGCTTTGACAGAGATGACAGGGATTTACAAATTGTCGTGTTACAATGTATCGTAATTGATGCTGGTCAGATTTTTTTTTTTTTAAGCCTTACATGAATCAGGATGTGGCTTCTCCTCTGCCACCATCAGGGCTGCGCTCTCTGCTGGCGGTATGTGTCCCTCTAATGCATTCACACAGTTTAGCATGCTCCTGTAAAACATCACGCGACTTGTCCAAGTTTTCACTTTCCTTAAATCACTATTTTCTTTTGTTTTTTTTTTTTTTTTATTCTTTTTTATTTTTATTTTTTTTTCTCCTCCCCTATTATACAAATCCTCTTCCGGAGCACCGATTCGACATTGCCTACCTTATGTTGCAGCGTACATGGCGACTTTGCGATTTAATCTTAGTCACGTTCCGTCCCTATTTAATCGTTTGCCGTTCAGATCCGACGAATCTCGCGGAGTCACGATTTTATTACAAATTTATAATCACAAACAACGATTAGTTGAATTAATAAGTATGATGATACGTGATAGTTAATGAATAATGATTGATGATTAAGGACAAATGACTATACATATATATATATATATATGCAAAAAGAAACTTAAAATGCGAAATTTACGAAGGGAAAAGTATAGGTTTGCACTTTACATATAGATCGCACGATCTACGATTATTACACGAGCTGATAAATGCAAGGAAAACGAATATCCTTCTCCAAAAACCCGCCGACATCCCAGATGATGTCCTCAGCCGATTACTCGAACTCGGCTCGAAATTGTCTCGTAGGACGGGCTAAAATCGTTTTTCGTCCCTCCACGTATCGATGTTTACTCGCAAATCCACGGAGACGTGAATTCAGAGATCTGCGAAATCCCCAGATCCGCTGGCTGAGAAATCGGATCCACGGACGCGCAGCTGCAGCGGCATGTTACTCTCGATAATGCACATGGTACGAATAACGATTCATTTCACAGTTTCTAATCTTGTACTATTATACAGCGTTTCACTGGCCTGTGTAGTAGAAATTTACGTCCATACATACATACCTACTAAGAATCAAACATTTATATTCGGCAGCCTGCGCGGCGAGTTTGCGTCTAAGGAAAATTCATCATCGGGACAATCGTCCACCGGAAATTTCGTGAAAGGAATTTCGACAAACAAAATTATGATACACATTTACAAGTTATGTGAATACATGGAAAGATATTTACATATCTTTCAGTGCAGAAGAGATACGATTTCTCGTGGAGGGGCGCCGCACGTCGACTACGGCTTTCGCTTTGCGTTGCTATTCGAACGAGAAATCAAAGTCGATACCAAAGTATCTTAACGCGAGTGGAAGGAAGGGAAACTCAATCCGATAATAATTAAATAAAGAAACAGGTTTATTTTACAACATAGAATGTCTGCGATCTTATTCGGTGATGCCGAAATATTCGTAAATATAACGCTTACGAACGGGCCTCGAGAACGAAGTTTATAGTACGTGAATTACACAATGCGTATTGATTATTAACAATTTCACACTAGTAGTGAGTACTACAGTTCTGATCCGATATAATATATAGATCGAATATAATAACAGTCTCCGTCTAGGTAGTGGCCAGTCTACGATCTTTTTATCATTTCCTCAGCATTTTTTTTTTTTTTTTTTCGGTAAAATCGGATTGTTGATTAAAACGTTCTTATTATTAAATTTATAGTTTATCGGTAGCGTGGGTATGGTTGGCAGTGGTGGCGTCAGATAGGACGGTCTCCTTGCTAGAGTTAGTGGCGAGCTCCTCTTCCCTGTAAGACAACAACGTTACATGGCCATCGAGCCTCGAATCGTGTCAGCTTTAGTGTCAGAGAAATCCTATTTTTTTTTTCGCGCGGATCTGCACAAGCTAAAAAAACGTGTAAAGATGCATCCTACGCGAAATGAAAAGAAAAAAAGTTTAACTTTTCCTTTCTCTTTGTCTTTTATTTCTCTCTCTAAGTTCGTCATATCTCGAATTGTCACAACCGAGCTATCGTAGCTTTACTAATGAACTCTAAAACGCACGTTTCCGATAAGACAGAGCAATCAGCACCGACAATCGATAAAGTGATCTATATCTAAGACACAGACATCCTAATCAAGAGTACACAGCAAGATAAGCTACTTCTTTTAAATTTAATCTATCTCTCGAAATAGCTCGATTTGAATTGCAAATTTTTTTACGATGAAAATTTTGTAATTATTTCTCGCTGACTGAATAATCCTTCGGCGCTCATTTGTCGCGCCGAAAGACTTTCCTTTGATAAAAGATATATATTACAGACTCGATATCGCCAACTTGCGACTAATTACAGCCCCTTTCCCCGCCTACATAGATATACTGTAAAATGAAAGGAAAATCGAGTGGCGCGCCAACATAAGAACAGTTAAATCAGATTGTCGAGATACAACTCAGCATAAACATTTGCCTCAACATTGTTACAAGCTGCAGAGCGATCGTATTGTTAGTTTGTTATTCATTAAGCAAAACAGATTTACAGGCGAGTGAGTGCGAATTCGTAAAACACTTAGAGTTCATATCTTAGATTCTCCATCACCATGTCCCCGCTTTCGAAAGCTCATCCCGCAATAAATATAAACGCGAGAAAGCTCGAAACGCAAATACATTGTCCTCGATACCCAATGTTAATTACCATCCAATCATAAACGTTAACGTTAACGCCGACGCCTTTCAATTAGCTCATCTCGACATACAAACAGAGCTAAGAAACTGTCGCTAAATCATAAGCGGTGTAACTAGCTACCGTTATATCTCCCCTGACGGGTAGAATGTTTCGGCAAGACCTTGATGAAAGTAGTAGAAGGAAAGAAACGAAACGGGAAGGGAACAGAAAATTCGTCTCGTATACGAGTTTATCGAGAGCTGCACTGATGAAATAAAAGAAAATATCGTCGATTCTCGTTGAAGAAATTAATTGAACCCAGGCCGCGCATAAAATATCCCTCGCGATGTTTATACGACGACGAACGGCGATGTAAAAAAATGATGCAAAGCAGCGATCTCTGCTGCGTTCGCTCACCCTCTGTAAAATTAGCCACTCATTTTCCGGATCTCGATATAATCGATGAAGCCTTGATCCTTTCTCAAAGATCTTTAAAATTTCACAAAAAGTGATTCGTCCTTTGAGATCTCCTCGTCGACCATTATTATATCTTTTTTTTACATCCCGAATATCATTTTTAGAATACGTCAAAAAATATCAGGGCTCAAATCGATTCTAATCGAGTTGAAAAAAAAATTATGATTATTTTTGAAAGTTGATATTCCATCATTGAACGGAATATAAGCGTAACTTTTTTTTTTTTATTTAAATTAGAAAGATTTGAATTCTAATACCTTTGGATACCATTTTTTTTATATTTTTCAATTCCCCTGTTCTTTAATCAAATCTCTGAGGAAGAACCGCAACTTTACGCGTCGTACTAAAATCCCGAAAATGGAGGGTGGTTAAGTTCACAGAGGTGGTTCCGCTCGCCGAACACAAACACGTTTGTGGCATCGTATCTCTGAACACAACTCAGAAATCACTTTGGTACGTCAAACAGTAACGTAAGCACTAACATGCAGTCGCACAGTACAGCGCCATAAACTCGTGCCAGCTATCGACATAAAAACTTTTCCAAGACTCTGCCTGTCGCCGAAACATTTAACTGGGCATTGTACGTACGCTAAAAGGAGCATGCTGTAGAAATACAAGGCTCCAGGAGGAAGTCAAGTGATCGGGGCTGTTATGTACGTGATCTCCGACCGCCGGGTGTGTTACGCCGTTTCGCGGATGCGGAAAAGTTTCCTTCGCGTTTCCCGTAAAGTATGCGGAGGCGCGGGCGAGTACGATCGCGAGGGTCGTAAACACGACAATTTATTCGTGGTAAAAAATATAAGGTTCGCGAACGACGGTGATAAAGCGCGGAATTATGCGGCACCGTAGTCGGAGTTATCCGCACGTAGACGCGTTACAGATCGATTACATAATAGCCCTGACGAACTTTTAGAAACTGTGAAATGTATCTCCACAAAAGAAAAACGAACAATTTATATATATATATATATATATATATGGTAACAATAATTTATATGTCCATGCAGCTATATGTATGTATATCTGTCTCTCTCTTAGTCAGCCTGGCTGATTACGCAATAAGACGGAGACTCGGCTGATTAGCTGATAGTAAAGTAAAGATGTTACGGACATGCCAGGCCATTGGATTGAAGTCATGATAATCGCGTGGCCGGTTTAGGATTATTTTTTAAACAGTTTTCAACTCGCAATCGCGCTTCTTCGGAATATTGCCTTCAAAATAAGCGGAATGAGCAAAGAGAAAAGATACAGGAGGAAATATTTATTTCGATTTTTCCTCCGTTTCTCTTCTGTTTTTTTCTAATGCTTTTTCCCAACGTCTGTGTTTTAAAATCAATTTTTTTTTTGTCGCAAAAAGATAAACGATATTTTATTTGTACACTGAAGGATTACGTGTGTGTTTTTTACTCGGCGCATAAAAAATAATCCCTCTTTTTGGATGTAACTAGTGGTGTCTTTGGTCATTTATCTTCATGCAGTTAAATAGTAATCGGTATGTTCGGTATAATATATATATATATATATATATCTCTCGTAACAAAGCCACCACAGTAACAGGAAATGTGTAGTAGCAGGACTCACCCATAAAGTCTGCTGTCCCGCAAGCTGCTCCTGCTCCGAATAACACAGAAAGCACAGTTACGATATATCGAACATAGTCGTCGTAACGAATAGAACGGAAATCAACGAAAATCGTTACCCAGAGAACCATGAAATAATCGATTTTATTGAAATGATACATGTACAGTATTACGTTAAACAAACAGAATATATCCATTTGGCCTTGAAAATATAACAATAATAAATAATTTTGCAAAAATCACCAACTCGCGACTCGACTGAATAACGTGTCTCTTATAAATTACATTTACTCGAAAGAAATCGCAATCTCATTAAGGAAAATCAAATCGGCGTTTTACATGTAATCGATCGTTCTCCTAATGTAACATAGAACAGACACATCTTTATTTTAGATCCTCTCCCGAAAATTTGACAGAATAAGTCCGAACTGTTTCGAGGATCAACAGCAAGATAGCTGATTTGTACTTCATTCGCAATATTTCACAAATGAGATGCTAAAATTACGTTCTTTGGTGTTTACACTTTTCAGAAACTAATAATCTATCGATACTGTTCGTTTTTTTTTTTTTACGCTTTCTCATACAATAATCTCGTTACATGATTCGCAATGTCGTGCACGTTATGTCTTCTACTTGCTATCGATTAGTGTTGCATTCTTATTCGTAAATATATGTAAAAACGTACTTTTCTTGCAATATAACTTAACTAAAATATCAAGTTCGAAATATCGAGACTTGCAATAAAGGGAAACCAAGCACGTGACGAAACTTTTTCTTTTTTTCTCTTTTTTTTAGGGCGAAATTTACACTACTACTTCAGCTTGTACTTATAAATGTGTACAAATAATGTCCGTATTAGTGGAACTTAAGTTACTCCCTCTAAAAAAAAAAAAAAAAAAATATGAAACTTTATCACAGTTCAACTTCTGTTGCTTCGAACAAGCGGCGATGCATGCAAAAATACGTAGCGTTAATATATTATATCCCGGGAGTAGAGTATAATACAATAGAGAGAATATACGATCGTGTTAATAAATTATAAAATCCCTTCTTGAAGATTCGAGAATACCCTATTATTAGTAACGAACAGTTTTCGTTAGACGGACGGACGAACGTTTTGGACGGAATGTGATAACAGTACGTTGTACATCAAGTACGGTATTTATTAGGATAACTCTATCTATAAATGTCTAACTTTCCTCTCCTGTGCAATTAACGATTGATAAATTGTGCGGTTATTAGTTATTCGAAAGTGTGAGTTTCGATCGTCTTACTTAAACGTTAACTTTAAAATGTTAGCCAATAATAAGTCGAGTCAAAAGAAGAAATGAAAAAACGGGATACAGATTGAGAGGGGAGGGGGGGGGGAGGGCTATCGCGGATTTAAGCTATACATACGTATATATACATGTATATAGGTATACCAGCAAACCTCCTTTTTGAAAGAAACTAAAGAGAGGCGGATGCAGAATATATCCAACTATGTATATAACATTTTGCTATTATAGTACGTACTGGGAATGGTAGTAAGTTGTTTATGTGCTGCATACCTGTCGTTACCATGCCTGAATAAAGCTAGAATCTCTTCGAATGTTTTATTCTTGGTCTCAGGAACCTTCTTGTAGGTGAAGATCCAGAAGATGGCTAGAAATGCACTGAACGGTAGGAACGTGTAGTTTTCAAGGCTACTCTGTAACACACAAAGCGCATAGAGCGTAGCAAATTTAGAATTTCAGACTCACATTTCTATACATAGAAAAATCCAATTCAATGTTGGCCAATTTAATACTAGAAATTACTTATTTTAATGTAATAAAAATAAATAATTATTACTCTCCAGCATTAAAGAATCCCGCAGAAATCTTATATGAAAAGTGGCTATAAAATGCATCCTGAAAAAAGTTTTATTTTATTTTTTTAACTCCAAGGAGCATATTAGAATTTCCAAAAATTGAAAAGACTTTATTTTCTGTCCGATGTGTGATACAAAAATATTAAAATTTAAAACAATTTGTTCGATTTTCCCATAAGATTGATGCGGGATTCCTTCCATAAAGATATATGATTGCTACGTTTTGTCGTTTTGATTAATAGCAACGATAATATAATAGATAATACAACAATTATATATAAGCGTTGTATGAGTTAGCGTTTTCCTCATAATTATTTTGCGAGGGAGGTTTATCCTCTAAAGGAGATTTTGTCGTCTTACCTTCATGCTTGGAAAACCGATGCCAACCAAAAAATTAGCCAGCCAATTGACGAGAACCGCGATGGACATGGCGGCGGGTCTAGGGCCTTGCGAGAACAGTTCCGCCGTGATCATCCAGGGTATAGATCCGGGCCCCACGGCGAAGAACACGACGAAGCAGAGGGTCGACACCACCGAGATGTAGGACATCCAGTCGATCATTTCCTGCACATAGCCGAAGAACTCCTATCAGGCAGTAGAATTGTGTTCTTCTTTCCTGAGCAGCTGGAGGAGCCTCAGGAATAAATAAAAATAAATACGGCAGGCCAGAGAGAAACTCAATCGAAAGAACTCGGATAACACATGTTGCGTAATAATAATAATAACTTATAATGCTGCATGCGGTGCGCAGCTCAACCCTGTGTAATGAAAGGCATTGACATTGACAAAGTGATTGCGGCGAGGTATCTCGTATAATGACAGAGTGCCTTGTTATGTACAATACAGTCTCTCGTTAAAGCGGTGAACGGTACGCTGCTTTCCATGATGAGTGCCAGGATTTGCTTTGACCTCAATCAGAAACATAGATAATGCAATTGATCGCGCGGAACATCCATGTGCAAGATCTCGAAATTGAAAAATGACTTAATATTTAGTTTCATCAAAGTGGCTGGTATGTCTTTTCTCAAATATCTCCCACGAGAAAACCGAACCGCTCTCGACAGGTGCCAGTTTGTACGGCTTTTATAATTAATAATTGCTACCGCAAAGAGGATTACTCCTTGTCGAATTCTATAATGTGTGAAAGCGTCGGTGCTAGACATTCAGCAAAGAATCATCAAATCGCGAAGGGTACAATTGACATATCCAAGATTATTCGCGCGAGTAATAATGTTAACTGTTGATGTAATGTGATACATAGAGAGTGACAGGTTTGAGCCAAGTAGAACATAGGCTGATTAATAAACGGGAAGTAAATGTCTCCTCCAGACAGTCACGAAAGAGGTCGTCAGTGGTGAGGGGGAGGAGGGGAAGCGGGTTACCAAAAAGCAGAATTACTAGCCAGTAAGCCAGAGTAACAAACGAAATGGCGTGCGAATATACGATACATGCGACACTTCACCTTTACACTGTTCTTTTTCTCCGTTCCTTTTACTATCGATCGCCAATCTCTGTTTAGCTAAGAAAGTCACTTGGCATTAATAATGAGAACCAACTGCTGAAAATATTTGCTATCCTTATATATTTGCTCTTTAATGTTTGTAAAATTTATACGTTTAAAGTACATGTGTCCATGTATCGAGATGTTAAAATTTCTACGGCGCAAATAAAATGAAATCGCATGCGGGAAGAGGACGTGACTTATCAGCTACATGAATGGCGGGGAGAAATTAAAATGAGTTGAATTTGTGATGCAGAATCGTATAGATATAATGGTGATTCTCACTGTCGGTGCAGTGCCGCACTCCAGCTGTGAACAAAGTGTTAAGTACACCTTTCGCCAAGGTGCATAAAGTGTCAAAGCACAGAAACGTAGCTACAATTCACGATCTTTATGATTTTCCTGAGAAAAGCACAATTCTTAATAGCACGGAGAAGTATTAACAAATAAATTTGTCGTTATCAATGGAATCTCCATCTTCATCGAACTACTTTTTTCAAACAGAATATAAAATAAATTATTTCACACAATTATTTTTTATGTAGAGCAACGTACATTATTTTATTAGGAATCTATGAAAATCTAAGAAATTTTAACTCTTTCGTTTTTTTTAAAGCTCCTCGAAAAGCCTAATTAAAGAATTCAACACAGAAATAAAATGTACGTTCACGATCTCAAGATTTTCTCGATTTCTGCGGTGAATCCTTCGCTTAATCGATATATAAAAGCCATTTATATATTAAATTTATTAATGTAACATTGCGAAGCAAATGAATATTTCCATATTTACAATAATAAACTTTTATAATTATTCTTGAAACAATACTGCTAATTATCTAGCACGCAAGCGCGATCGGATAATTAGCAGTAAAAATGTTAATCGTTGCCTGTTGCTGTTTATCGTTAAAATGTTTATCGTTAATGATGAGTACAGTCTGACAGAAACGCATTAAAATTCCAACTCACCTTTATGAGAAACGAAATTGTGATGAATATTGAAAAGATAAACATGCCACCGAGACCATACAAGTGCAATGTACGCCTTCCTGTCCTATCCATGAGTGGGATAGACACTAGCGTCATACAAACCATGATGGCACCTATGCCAATGGTTGCAAACTTGGCACTCTCGTCCGTTAAACCAGAACTAGTGAACAGATTCGTGGAATAATAAAATACCTGGAACGCGGAATAGTTTTGCATCAGATTAACCGTAATTAATAAAACTGCAAGGACAAGAGTAGAGAATACGCGAGTCGAACGATTGAACGAAACGAAGTTACTTACGGCATTGATACCCGAAAGCTGTTGCGAAAGTTGCATAACCACACCAATAACGAGAGGTGCTCTTAGAGTCGGGCTGCATATAAGCTCTGTCATTGAGATTGTGGACTCAGCTTGTTGAGCCCGTTCCTCCGCTCTCATCTCCTCAATGTCTTCTTCTACTTGGTTACTGGCTCTCAACCTTCTCAAAGCTTTTCGAGCCTCTTCCTCCCACTGTTTAGTAATGAGCAAATATCTGAAATAATTTGTCTCTCATATTAATAAACTCGTACGTAAGCGAGAAACTGAAGGAATGTAAAAAATTGGAAAATCGCGTATTTTATTTTCGCACTGAATTCTTTGCTCAGACTCCTCGAGCGGCTTATATTTCTAAAAAGCTACAATTTCTTTTATAAGTTACAACAGTACGTTATTATCAACACACACCTTGGAGATTCCGGGCAAACTGGAAGCAGCAGTAGCTGTAGAATGGCAGGACAGATAGCTAGTCCTAAGAGAACGGGCCAACCCTCATTTGTGCCAAGGATTTGCTCGATGCCCAGCACCTGGGAGACCAGGAGGCCCACCGTAACAGCGAGCTGGTTCACCGTGCCTAGGCCGCCTCTCAGGTTCAATGGCGCTATTTCCGATATGTACATGGGAACCAATGAGGTGTTCAATCCACAATTGACACCGATGATGAACCGTCCGAAGAACAGCATCTCGTACGACTCAGCGAGCTTCGTGAAACCCATCAGGCACGCCCCCACGATGCCCAGCACGTTGTTTAGCAGTAAGCCTCCCTTTCTGCGATTAAAAGCAAAAGGTTAATCCTCGTCTTAATCCTCGTCTCCCTTTCCGCTTTATAATTACACAATAATTATCATTTTCCTAAAAATTCATTTTCAAATCATGATCAAAAGGATAGATTATGAAAGACGTGAAGGTGTGACACGAATATCATAATTTGGAAGGCACTGGCTTGTCTTATAAAATTATGTGGAGAATCAATATTGCTGAGCTAGGCACCGACCTGCCAAATCTGTTGGCAATTGCTCCTCCGCTGAAACCACCCACCATACCACCAATCGCAAATATGCTCACGGCTACGGAGTATAATGTCTTAACAGAATCATCCGAAATGTCCTCTCCGTACCTATCCTTGTATACATCTTTCATAAAATTCTCTATGTTCTGCAAAAAATTCGAGTATATTATTAAGGGTATGAAAACGTGTATGAAAACAATTTGAAATGTATAGATTTGTAGATAGATTTTATGTTGAAAAACGTACCACTTCAGGCGCGTTAATCACTCCAGTGTTGTATCCAAACTGCAACATTCCCAATACGGCAGCTAGTATCGCGTATGACAGGAAAAGCGTCAGTCCCTGTAAATATCCGTATATATTGTTTACATGTGAATTATAATTGCTATCTGCTACATACATGTTGCATACATAATATTTAATTACATTTGGTTTCTAAATGCACACGTGATAGAAACAATAAGGGGGAAAGAAAGTGCTGGGGACTTCATAGGATGGTGCAAGATAAAATAAAAATACAAGAACGTAAAAAATTATTCCGATCTTTATTAACAAAATTGTACACACGTTGTCGATCAGAAATCATACAACGTATAAATAAATCAACAAAGCATAAACGCATACATACGCATACAGTCACGACGCAGCAACTCGAGTCTCGTGCTGAACATAATGAAAATAGGTAAAATAAAAACACCACATTTATTGTGGTGTTAACACATAATGAAAATAAGGTAAAATAAAAACACCACATTTATTATCTAAGATCGAAAGTCACCTGCTCCAAGAGCCTAAGTTTCCGCCGATGGGAGTGTTCTTCCAGTCGATCCACGTATTCTCGTAACTCCTCTATCTCTTCCTTGACCTGCTGTACCGTATCTAGTTCTTGCTGCGTGTCAAGAAATAGAATATCTGAGATACTTCCATACATACTAAACACGATTTTTACATTATTGAAAGGGCGATAAAACACTCTTTCAATGACGCAAGGGATTTATGTATATTCCTAAATATGAAACCTTCTATTAATCCGTGTAAAATTTTCATTGTTTTTCCTTGTCTTTTCTTTACTTTATATAAATATTAGCGGCAATTTATTCGCTTGTTACTTACACATATCGATTACTGAAGTTTAATACTTTAATGCTACAATCTCATTTTTAAATAACAAGAGAATCGGTCGGTAACCTCGAATTTTTCTAAAAGAATTAGAATAGAACGCTTCGTAATAATTTTTTAATCTACAAAGCAGCAGGATGACATGTCATTAAATATGAGTTGATATTGATGAGTCAAAATTTAATATTTAATTAAAAAAAAATATGGCAGACAGGCTTTGAGTAAACTAGCATTATAATAATCTGTTTCTCGGAACAAGATTTTCGTTCATCTTGATATCATTACTTACAAGGTCTAGAGCAGTAAAGATAAATTAGGAAAGAGGCATGTCAGTTGGGGGGGGAGGGGGGAGTACCTTAATCGCGACCATGTCCCGCTTCACCTCGCTGACCTCGGTCTGACAAGACTCTACGCTCTTCGTGAGCTCCTGCAGCTGCGTGCGGATTTCGCAGAGAGCGACGGTGGTCTCCAGCTGGCGGTCACCCCGCTGCAGCTCGTCCAGCTTGGCACTCAGGTTCATACTCATAACGCTGACCTGTTTCTGCAGACTGTCCCCACACACATAATCCCCGCGTGAATCTCGCTGATTCGTACGGGAGAGAGGATCGACAAAAACATTGTCGAGCACATTGACACTAGACGTTCAAGAGCTAGAGCTATTGCCTAGGTCCCTAAAATAAGTCCAACTATCTCCGCGCTTAACTGCCGAGCCTCTCCGCCTGCGGGACCGTTTAGCAACGCGACGCATGATTTACGTGCATGATTATGCCGTCGTTATCACATTTACTTGAAGCAGAACGAGGATGCGACGAGTTATGCGACGTAGTGTAGAATGATAGAGAAACGATTCGACAGGTGTAAAGTGTGAGACACCTTCACCCCCGAGAGCTCGAAAGCGCGGCGAGCCAGCGTTAGCTCGGCAGCCATGGGGAACGTTGGGTATGTTATAATAATACATGAAAGATAGATAGTATATATATATATATATATATATATATATATATATATATATATATATATATATATATATATATATATAAATATATTCTTCGCAGCTGTGCACATATTAGATGGAAGTTTGTGAATTCGCGGGTGTGTAGATAGATTTAAGTGCCTCGATATATTTGCTGAATGTCGAAATGATATTCTCCGTCCATGAAAAGTCTACGATCTCGCGAACCTAACCGTATCGCCTTGTATCACTTTTCTCGATGTATGCAATTATATTTCTATGGCCACGATGCGTGAATGTGCAAGTGAGTGAAAAATGATTTATACCTCGCACGCATTCTACGTGAACGTATCGTGAAGAATCATGAGACTTTCGGAACGATTCGGTGAATTGGCAAACTCATCGATCGATGTGCACAGCCAAGCAGAAAGGGTGATTTAAGATGAGAATGTAATAGAATAGAGCGAGAGAAAGAGAGATTGAAAATTCTTTTTCCTTTCTTTTTTTTTTTTTTCTTAAGACGTGTGATGAGTGAGGGGTGAATTGCAGAAATGAATGAGCATATGATTCGAGGGGTAGATGAGACAGAAAATAAAAGGGAAGAGACAGAGGGGTAACGGGGGGCAGATAGACATTGAGAGACGGAAATATGTACACGTATCAAGCAAAGGATCGCACCAC